AAAAAAAAAAAAAAAAAAACAAAATAAGTATAGTTTGTTAACTGAGATTAGAAAAATGAATAATGCAAAAATAATTAAATAAATGATATAAAATAACTACAATAAATATTATCATTTTAGCTGTAATTTTTTATATTTATTTATAAATTATTTTAATTATTTTGTTTTTGTTTAATAATATTTAGTTTAATTATTTTTTTGTCTAATTTTATATAATTAATTTTATTATATTTAATTTATCATGAGTTTATACTTTAATAATTTAATTTAATATAATTTACATTATCTTTTAAATTTAATTCATTTATCCATAATGATGTCCATATATATTAAACATTCCTAGATCTAACACTCAACCTTGAGTGGCGTGGTGGTTGCTTGCTTGTCATGCTCACAGGGTAGCCCAAGTTTGAATCCCAGAGGCGATAATCATTTAATTCAATTTCTCGCGATATATCCAATATTTCGTGATAAATTCAATTTATCGTATATATATAATATTCGGAGGGTATAATCGGGTTTTTGTAGAAGAAATAACACCGTTAACATGGAAATTGAAAAAAGAGAGCGTGTGCATCGGTTACTTAAACACAAAGGGGTTTGGTGCATTTTTTAGAACACAGGGTAGTAACACGCACATTTCGTATAACACAGGGAGTTTGATGCAATTTACTCCTAAATATATTGATAAAACTAAAAAGAGTTTCAGATTTATATAAAATTGAGTTGTGATTGAATCTTTCTAGTTTAGATTTATATCTAATTACACCGTTAGAGAGTGATTCTATTCAAACTTTTAGAGACTCTTTTAGACTTTTAGAATTCTCGTGTATTCAATTATAACTTTTTTAGAATCCTAAAAAGGGTAAAATATACAGTATCTCCTTGTATCATACGAAATTTATACGTTTTTCCCCTGTATTTTAAAAATTACATTATATGAAATTTTTGTATAATCAATAATTCATTATTGTCCCAATTTGTATAAAATTAACTAGAAAATATTTAATTTTATCGTCTATATTCTATTAAATTTCAATTCTTAATAAGTCATCTATCATTCTAGTAAATTACAGTTTGACCCTCTATTTAAGGGATATTGTCAGTAGGCCTGTAAACGAGTCGAGCCGAGATCGAGTTTAGAGTGCTCAAGCTTGAACCCTTAACGAGTCGAGCCGAGCTCGAGTTTAGAGTGCTCAAGCTTGAACCCTTAACGAGTCGAGCCGAGCTCAACTCGTTAAATAAACGAGCTAGAAATCGAGTTTGAGCTCGGCTAGTTTATTAATATTAACGAGCCGAGTTCGAGCCTGAACGAGCCAAGACGAGCTCGGCTCGTTAACCAAATGAGTTTTAAATGAGCTCAGCTCGTTAAGGCCTCAACCTCGCGCCAAACTCGAGCTTTAACGAACCGAGTTAGACTCTTTTAATTTAATAGTGTCTGTAATATCATCAGTGAACTTTTTAATCGACTTGATTCTTTTGTTGGTTGCTCCCTTGTTCACCGCCATTCGTTCATCTTGTTTCTTTATCGGTTTGACTCTATTGGAGGAGTGATGGACTTTCGTTGGTGCTACTCCGTCATCTTTGAGCTCGGCAGTCGACATTTATTTGGTTCACCGATGGAATCGATTTGCCTTTGCAGTAGTCTTAAGTCTTCTTGACTTTGTTTTTGTGATATGTTGAGCCGAGTTGGTAATCGTGGCCACTCGTTTGCTTGGTCCTAATACTCCGATCTTGTTGATTGTTTGTTGTGCTCGGTCATGCTCGTTTCTTCCTTACCGACTCAACTCATTGTGCTCGGCCAAACGATTGCGGTAGTCGTCCACGTGTTGATTTTTCGCCTCACGCGAACTCCATGTCATCAATTAAAGAAATTAATTGTATTTGGAAACATTTCATGATTTTCTTCTATATAATATTTAGGCAAAAGAAGCGAAGCCGGATCGAGTAGTAGGTTAAAATGATAATAGGAACAAGTACCAAAGCACCAAAGCATATTAATACTCACTCGGGTCACGCCATATCTTTATATGGGTCCCACTTACCATTGTTCTCAAAACGTGAAATTTTTGGATCAAAATGTAAATTTCATTCAAATGGACTAAAAAGTGGAAAAAAAAAAATAAGAATTTTTATAAAACGAGGCGTAAGATAAAACACACGCATACACACAACAAATGACAACACAAGGACCACACAACCACGAAAATACACACACAACCCCCCTCCAGATATATGTGTATAGACATAAACTATAGAGAGAGAAAAAGAGAGTGAGAAGTAGAGAGAGAAAAAGAGAGAGATGCTCATGTCATACCTATACTATTTATTATTAGTCACTATAAATTATTCATTACTCATAACTCCTTCTCAGCATTTTCTTTGGTGTTAATACCATTAAATAGCCATAAAGTTTTACAAAACACAAATTTTAGCCACCTTTTGTAAAAAACATTTTTTTTAACCATTTTAACATGTGCTTTTACTACATTACCCTTAACTCAATTTTACATCTACACAATTTGTGTTCTCCTAATTCATCTCCTTTCAATCTTACAAAAAATTTCAACCGCCGCTCTGCACTTCATTTTCACGAAATTTCATATCACGACCGTACACTCCTCTCCGGCGATTTTTCTCGCCGTTAACCTGACGCTGTGCTGCTCCTCTCATCACCCGACGCAGATCCTCTCCATTCACTTCCCCCCCTTCCCCCATCGCTGCTCCTCTCCTCACCCGACGCACCCGCGCTGTTCCATCGCACCACCGACCGAGCCGGCTTCCCGAGTTCACTGCGTCCATGGCGGCCGAGCCTCCACTTCACCTACCTAGATCTGTTCGACTCTCAAAGCCAAAGTTCCTCAAGGTGCGGCTCTTTAGTTTAGGGCCTGATTAGGGTTTTTATCTTCTTTTTTCTTCATTAATAGTATTGACCTTTTTTGTTGAAATTCATGAGAAGGTATTGAATTAGGTTTTCAGTCTCAACACATCAAGTTTCTTATCTACAAAGCCTTTTCATTTGTTTTACTATACTAGGTTGTTTTATATGATGCTAATACTATCTACTCTAATCTACATTGAAGGTAGTTGCATTGAATTACTGATTTGCTTCTGCTTCTAATTGTTACTGCTATGGGAGATAAATAAAGAACTTATATTCAATGATAAATAACAATGGTTCGAAATGATGAACTTGAGCATATTTGGATTCATAGCTGCTTTTTATTATTCGACTTAAAATTAGTTATTTCACTTGGGTTGCAAAAGAAGGGGGTGGCTTTCGACTTTTGTTTATAGCCTTGGTAATTTGATGTTACGACTTGTAAGTTGATGGCTTTGTGCTTATATGTTATTCGTGTGTTGCAGTTCATTTCTGGGAACCTATGTTCAAGTGGGGCATTAGCATAGCTAATCTTGCCGACTCAGCCAAGCCCCAGGAGAAAGTTTCTTATCCGCAGCAGATTGGTTAATTGTTGTGCTTGATAAATTTTATGGTTCAAAATTTCGTAAGATGGTTCGGGTTTCTCTTTTGAGGCCGTTGTCATGTGACACGAATTGCATATACACTACTTAGCAAAGATTTATGTTTTTCATTCCTTCCTTTTTTTTTTTCATTCTATTTTTTTTTTTTCAAAGAATAGGCAAAGTAGTCTCTTTTGGGCACTGATTGTATTTATATACCTATGTATGTTTTTCGCCTCTAGCGGTTACAGCAACTGGAGTTATCTGGTCACGCTACATCACCATAATTAATCCTGTAAGTTCATTTGTTGATATAATATGCCAAGCGTGGGCACTAAATGTTCAATTTCTTCCCTTACAGTGTGTGTGCATTTGTGTGTCTGTGTGTGGAGTTTTCTTGTACCATATATTCTCACTTCCAAGAATTTTACTGCATGACTTCTGCCTTTAAACTCTCAAAATTTGTTTCTGGATGATGATTGAGAAAACACAGTAATGTTGAGAAAAAAAAAAAGAGTTCTAATTGGATGCAGTTTTTATATTTATATTTTTTGTGTCAAATTCTGTTTTTAGAAGCTTAAGATCATATTTCTTTATGTCTGCACCAATAAGCACTTGGCTGCTTGGTTTGATGATGTTGGACCTTCTAACATAATTTTATTTTAACTTGGGCATACATTTTACGAACCACAGAAGAACTGGAATCTTTTCAGTGTAAACATTGTTTTATATGATGCTAATACCTGAGGAGAAGAACTTGCAAACTGAGAGCTTAATAACTGAAAATGGCAGCGAAAGTGAGATCCAGAATGTTACAGCTGGTAATGCAAATGGGAATGAAATGAATGAAGTGGAGGCCAAATTCCCTGCAGCAGGAAGTGAGTTCATGAATGTGATTTTTGAAAACGGAAGGGAAAATTGTCTGACTGGCACCACCAAAGTGTTCAAGGAAAATGATGAGGTGGAGAGCATAAAAGAGGTTAGTTGAGCCAATTGGGTCGTATAAGTACATATTCGTACCATAAAACAAATTGATCCAATTGCTGTCTTAATTTTTCAGGCATTGCGCAATGTAGGCTGAGTTCCATTAGCCTGAAATGAATCAGGAATAGAAAATATACATAATGTTAAGGTCGCAAAAATTTCTTTTGGGTTACATTCTGCATGTCTTGAAAAAAAATAGGACTTATCACAATTCTTCACTTCGTTGTTACATAATATGAACTACGACTATTTGAGATCTAACTTGCTTCAATTAATGTATAAGTTCTTGCTTTGGGTATGAAGTCAGGTATTTATTTGATGTCTACAAAAAATCTCATTCTTGTCTATCATATTACGACCGCGTAGATTTGGGATAAACACTTCCGCGAGAGCCTGTGGTTATATTTACTTTTATTAGAAATGTCATTCAAGACAAAGAAAACAAAGTGTAATTATGTAGCTCAGTTTGTTCATAAATTAGTATTGCAGTACAAACAGTACAAAAACCAGGTTTTCAGTAAACATGAAATTTTGATATTATTTACTCATTTTAACTGATTAAAAATAGTATAATAAAATTACTGTGCTTCTGGTTATACAGTATATGCACTGTAATGCCCTATGAAGTTGAAAGCAGTCT